ATCTTCGTTATGGATAAGTTAATAAAATCGTACAAGGACAATCATTATAAAATTACTAATTTTTTTGTACATTTTAACTTTTGCCTTGTAAAATAAGACTATTTTACTTTGGAGCAACTTATTTAATAATTTCTTTCAATTAATTATTCTTTCTATGTAAGGTCTTGATTGAGATAAAAAAGTCAGTGTGACAAGCGGTTTTCGAACCTACGACCTTCGGATAAATACGCTACTACGCTACCACTTAAGTAGCGGCGTATTTAGCCGAATGTCGTGGGTTCGAATCCCGCTTGTAACACTGACTTTTTTATCTCAACTAAGACCTTACTTAGAAAGAATAATTAATTGAAAGAAGTAACTTATTCAATTGACCACTAAAACGTAAAAGGATTATTATTTAATAATCTTTATGTAAGGTATTGGATGAAATGAAAAAGTTAGTGCCATGAGCGGGATTCGAACCCACGACCTTTGGCTCAATTACGCCGCTGCTCTTACCACTTTAGCTATTGTGACTTCGATCCACTCGGACACCAACTCCCCATCTCAACATATTTTTCGAAGTTTCCCGACATTTGACGTAATTTGAAAAATGGCAAAAAGGAGGGAAAATTCGAAGGGTAGGTTGAGCGGCGTATTGAGCCGAAGGTCGTGGGTTCGAATCCCGCTCGTGACTAACTTTTTCATTTCAACCAATACCTTACATAAAGATTAATTCATTGAAAGAAATTATTTGGTCAATCGGACAACGAAATATAATGGATTATTTAATAATTTATTTTTCTTCTTTGCTGTCCCGACTTAATCTGTATAAAGTGTCCTCTGTTTTTATTCCTCTATTTTATTATTCCATTCCTATGTTTCTGTTTTTCTCTGTTCATCTATCTCTTCACTTCTCTCTTTCTGCTGATCGATTTTGCACCCAGTCCCCCGAATTCCGAGCTAAGCTACTGGACGACCTGGAAGTATTCTAAACGGTGCTGATCCTTTCTCGAAGGGTAGATTAATTTGTAAGGACGGTCGTGAAATTCCAAACCTGAAACAGGTCCGTTTGGATATGCGTCGTCGACGTCGACGGCGGCGGCGGCGAGGCGGTAGAAAGTGGCCGGCCACTCGCGATAAATTAGGTCGGAAGTCATCCGTGTCCGTCCGGGAGCCCCACCGCCAAGGCGAGGGGCCCGGCTCGTGCGTCACAGAATCTCGCTTCGTGTCCCCGGTCACGGATCTCTGCCGGCATAACCCGCCTCTTAATTACTACCAGGTGTTTTCTTTCCCTTTTAACAACAATAGTCTACTCCTCTTTTGGAAGCTTTTTTCCACCGATACAACTTTATCGTTAATTAATGATAAAGGCAAACCAAACAAGTGCTGGGAACGAAGGTCTACGCTCAGCCGTTCGCAGGAATCTTTAAGCATAGAGAAAGTATATTACCCAATTAAACCGTATCCGCTTTGGCAAAGATTAGGAAAACAAGGCAGCTTATATCACTTGCCTTTTTTAAGAGTGAATGATAATGAGAGAGAAGGAGTGAGAGAATGGAAAACAATGAAAGAGAGAGAAAAATTACAAATCGTGACAGTGAGGTAAGGAATGTCTATTAAATTTACGAATTAGTTTACTTGTTAATATGACGATAGGGTGAGAGCGAGGGAGATAGCGAGTGCTTTGTCCGACTGAGAATAACTAACCGTTTTTGTACAAGCAAAGCTGCACAGATACACAGAGAAAGAGGAAGAAAGAGAAGGAAAGTGTATGAGAAGGAGTGAGAGGGAATAAAATATTGAGAGAGAGAGAGAGAAAGAGAAGGAGGTAAGAGGAAAAGAGAGAGAGAATGTAGAATGTAAGAGCGAGAGCGAAAGAGAGACTGGTAAGAGAAAAAGAGGGGGAAATGTAAGAGCGAAAGCGAGAGGGAGAGAGAAAGTTCGAGGGAAAGAAATACAGAGATGGATAGATATAAAGTAATAAATATAAATAAATAGAGAATTAAAGTTGATGAGTTGATGGATCGACCTACTGTTGAACAACTTGGAGAAAATGATCTTCGGTGAGATCAGAACAGAACGACACTGCTTTAAGTTATATCGTCACCATCAGGGCTTTAACTCGATGAGTGTTGAAATCTATCTATTATCGACTTGTAACGGGAAAGCCATTCGAGCCTCATGTCTCTCCCTTGTGGTTGACGTTAGCACTTTAATTTAAGTAATCTATATATAGTAAAATTAAAAAAAACCTTAATTAAAATGCACTCAGTGTACTTTTACGCTGAAAAAGCAGTCTTGCCCTCCATTGTACATCAACAACAAAGAGATACCAGTTTCCACTCAAGTCAAATACCTGGGACTATATCTCGACAGCAGACTGACGTGGAATCCCCACACAAGACTTAAAAAACAGCAACTTAATACAAGACTTGGACTACTACGAAGACTTTTAAGACCGAAATCGACTTTGACAATTAAGACAAAACTAACACTATACAAGACTTTACTAAGACCAATATGGACATATGGAGTAGAATTGTGGGGCACTGCCAAGCCTTCCAATATCCAGCGCATCCAGTCCTTCCAATCGAAAGTCCTTAGACAAATTGTTAAAGCACCCTATTATGTCACTAACCTCACTATCCACAAAGACCTCAACATTCCTTTTGCCAACGAACTAATCCAGTCCAGATTCCAAACCTTCCATACCAACCTTTCAAACCATCCTAACCACACGGCTCGAGCCCTATCCACTCATTCCCATCCTGACAACCCACCACGACGCCTCAACCGACGATGGCCTCGGGACCTCCTTGATCCCTAATCATATAAACTGAGTGCCAGCAATGGCTGGCTCCTCAAAGCATGTGTCCTACCGGTGCATTGCTGGCATTAGTGCTAGTGTTGTGCTGTGTGATATTTCATGCATGTGTACATATTTGTATAGTATACAATTCTGTATAGGTAACAAATAAATAAATTTAAAAAAAAAATTAATCTTATCTGTGAGATCAAAAAGTATCTGAAAAAATAATAATAAAAAAAGAGTCATGTACTTAGATGAATATTTTAACCGAGATTCTTAGCTTCACCTAATTTCAACTAATCTTATTATAAATGCAGTTTCTTTTTCTCAAGATATATTTCAACACTCATCGAGTTAACGCCCTGATAATGGCGATATAATCGTCGAAAGCTCGGCAAAAACTTGAAGAATTGACGTTCTGTTGTGACCTCACCGAAGAACCTATTTTCCAAATAGAGAATATGCGTGCAAGGATAAAAATTATGTATGAAATTAAAAGAGAGTAAATGTGTTGGTATGAGAGTGAGTGAGTGAAAAACCTGCATCGAGGTGGTAAGAGTGAATAATAGAATCAGATTCAAAGAGGATGGGAGAAAGTGAGAGAATGAGATTCAAAGCGGCTGAGTAGGTGAGTAAGAACAAATGAGGTAAATAGAGAGAAAGAAAGAAAGAAAGAGAGAGAGAGAGAGAGAGAGAGAGAGAGAGAGAGAAAACGATAGGGAAGAAGGGAGAAAAAGAAAGAGAGAGAAAGCGATAATAAGTAGATAGTAAAATAGGTAAACTTAGGCTGGCAAACACAAGGAAGGAGAAAAGAGAGAGAGAAAGAGAGAGAGAGAGAGAGAGAGAGAGAGAGAAAATATTAAAATAAGAAAAGGCAGATAAGCATAATAGGAGTATGTAGTGTGCATATAAAAAATTGCAAGAGATCCACTTGGAGAGACATAAAGAAATAAGAATACAGATAAACAGAGATAGAGATTGGTGCAAAAAAGATAATAGGTGGATGAAATTAAATAAAATCAAGAGATTGTATCAGTTTGAGTGAACACTCAGAGAGAGAAAGAGGGAGAGAGAGAGTGTGTGTGTGTGTGCGTGTGTGTGTGTGTGTGTGAGAGAGAGAGAGAGAGAGGGAGGGTGAGAGGAGGGGGTGTGTAGAGGTAGCTGAGAGAAAGAAGGGAAAGAAAGTGAATGAAAAGTAAATGAGATTAAGAGAGATAGAGACTGAGAGACCGACTGAAAGAGGCTTAAGTAAAGATAAATAGACATATAAATCAAGAAAGAGTAAGAGATAGATTTATAGATAGATAGATTGAGATAGTGAGTGAAAAAATTAGAGAGAGAGGGAGAGTAGGGAGAGAAAGAGAGAAGGAGTGAGAAAGGGGAGGGAGTGAGAATGTAAGCGAATGAACCTCACCGAAAGTGAGTAAGTGAGTCGGAGTGTCAGTCATTAGAGAGTGAATGAATTGCATTCAGAAAGATAGAGAATACGAGAGAGAAAAGAGAGTAAGAGAAAATCTCTAAAATAAGGGATGTCTAAACCATTTCTCAAATGATATCTTTATATTGAGAAACAACGCTGAGTGTTTTGTTTGTTTCTTTACTTATCAAAGGAAGGTTAAAGATACAAAATCGGTTAAAGTTGAGGTAAGTCAACGATGCTATTCAGGACGATGCACTAATCGTTCGTGCATTTTTGTTTGTTTGATAACACGCCGAAATTTCTCCGTGTCGTACCCACCTTAGGAATTTAATCTCTAAGATAAAACAATGCGATACGGATTTTATGATGTTCATTGTAGTAAAACTCGACGGCTGGGAATCCTCGGTTTGTTGTCGCATTAAGAAAGTAAGAATGGGCCATCGGCATTATGTAATTGACAACTTCGTAACGTGGTGCAATTTCTGACAGTGTCGGGTTAAAAGAGAACTGTATACAGGTGACGTGAGATTAGGCGTTAATCTTTTAATGTCTACGATTAGATAGATGTCACCGTATGCGGTTTATCGGCTTAAAGAATGCCTCACTTCTTTGACATGTGATCAAATGCAATAAAGAGTAAAAATTTGATTTACATTAAAAATAATTTATCTAAAACAAGGCAATTTACTATATTTTAAAAGAAAAAAGAAATAATAAAGCTATCATTAAATTAACAATAATTGATTTAGGAAAGAGAAGGTAAAAATGAAATTTCATTGTGAAACTTACCTTAATAGGGAGAACGAGGAGTCTCCTGAAACAAAAAGTAAACAACTTAGAATAAAGTCAATAATATCTCTTAATTGTCATAAGCAATACTGAATAAAAAACAAAACGTCAATAAAAATTTTAAATTGTTCTCAACTGCTCTGATCTTTGGCATCGCCATCAATACCGTCTTATCAACGTACATACCGTCTTGTCAGCACATGTCAGAAAGCAACATAATCCGATGAGAGGGTACGGCTGAGTTAAGCATATATCTATGCTTTCATAATCTCACCGAGAGGATCGATCGTTCAGAATCTGTATAAAAAACGAAACCCTAGGTTTTGATATCTTTGAGTGCCTTTCGTTCTGATAGTCAAGATTTTTTTATACAGAGGTCAGCGGTAATATTTGTTATGGATTTGGAAGTTTTGAAGTTCGGTTTTTTTCGCGAGAGAGTTTTAATTGAAAGCGATTAAAGCTGAGCTATTGGGGATAATAGATTTTTACCACTGATAAGGATTTGGATGAAAAGTAGATCAGTTTGTTCCCAGTTACAGGGTTTGGATTAAGCACAAATGAACCCAAGTGAGGGATTTAATTTAAAAGAATTCTAAAAAATTTAGTTTGGACTTTTTCAAGCAAAAAAATATGGTTATATAGGTCTATACCGTCTATATTTTAATTGCCTTTTCTTAATTAGTTGTTTAAATGTAAGAAGAACTATTTGACTGCATTTCACACCATTTACTTTAAAGAAGTATAGATTTTATGCTAGGACTAGCATACTGTAAACCAATTTTAAAGCGAAATTGTTTTTGAAACGTTGAGTGGTGCACATCACAAATAAAGTATTATTGGTCTTATTAAATACATTGCATAGATTTTATAAAAATGTCATCAGTGATTGTTACAACAAGACCGTTAAATAAGATCTTAGTCTTTAACTGCAATGTACTATAAAAAATTAATATTTTAATTAAATTTATTACAAATTGATTTTAAGAACGTTATTAGGGCGCAGATCTATAAAATTGGAAAGGAGAGTTATTAGTTTTTCATCATCCTGCAGCACATTTTGCCTGTATTTTATTTGCCTGCTCTGACAGTACAGAATAGCGAGAATACCAGGGTGATCTGAAATGACCGTACTGCAAGGTTCATCGCCCCGCAGATCTCAAGAAAAAATTCCACACAAAAAATTTACTTTTAGTTTTTAACACGTGAATATATTTGACACTAGGATCAATATTTTCCCATTCCTGACTTTTCCCCATTCGATGATGACCCAAGACCCTAAGAACGTTTTACCTGATTTATGCTTCAAAGTGAGGTGCGGCAACGAGTTCTAAGAAATCAGATAGAAGGGATCATTTTTGGTACCACATTTTATATCATCTATATTACTGACCTACTTGCACACCCCAATACCTCATCATCACCTACGCCTACACTACCTACGACGATACCGCAATTTTGCCCTCTAACTCGAACCCTATACAAGTTACCTCCAACCTCAAGAACATCTCGAGCATATCGAATACTGGTGCAAAAAGTGGAGGTCAACACTGAATTAAGAAAAATGTACTCAGTGTACGTTAACATCCTTCCATTCAAGTCAAACATTTAGTACTACAGCTAGACAGCAGACTGACATGAAATGCCCACACAAGTCTTAAGAGACAAAAAGTTAATAGAAGACTCGTAGGACCGAAAATGTCTTGACTGTCAAACTAAATTAACCTTATTCAAGGCTACTGCGACCGTTTTGGACATAGGGGGAGGAACTGTGGGGTTCTGTCAAGGCATCCAATATCCAGAGGATCCAATCCTTCCTCTCGATCCATCTTAACCTTACTGCTTGAGCCCACTCGCACATTACCATCCCTAGAACCCGCCAAGTCGCCTTATCTTTAATAAATAGATTATATTGGTTCATGCCAAACCATACCATTATTCTGCTTCATCCATGTTTGACCGTGGAACATGTCATGTCTTAAGTATATATTTTTTGCCACACCCGAACTTGACAATCAAATAAAAATACAATAAATTTTCTTTTCTAGCTCAACAGTTTTCTCAAGAAATTTATTCACATTATCTTATAAAAGTTTTATCTTATCAGATGGAGTGAGTTTTTTATTACAATACGCATTGTTTAATGCACCTGCGATAAAAGCGCCGCGGATTTTTAGGGCTTTTATGATTTTTTGGTAAATTTTGAAAATGCCGACTTTCTTCAATCTGCTGATTAAATTATTTTGCCAATTTCCCTCAGCGATTTTTCTCTCTGTTCTTAAAATGAGACTTAAATTTGTTGGCTATTCTGCGAGGGGACGAACTCATATTGAACTGACCTTCAATTCAAGTAATTCGGATAGTTCCTGACTGAAGCTGACAGCCGAAACACGATGGACCCAAAAATGTGATGTATGGCAATCAGTTCATCATGTACCTAGACTTGTTTTTTCATACTCGTAATGTATGTACTATGTTGCACACATATCACAGTTTTTATCTTTTTTAAAAATATAAATGGCCTTATGAATATTTGCATATTAATAGCCAGGGGCGACGGTGGGAATCGAACCCACGACCGCTATGGACCGAGAGTCTATACTCGACTACCACGGACCCCCAAATTTCGGTTTCATACCATTTTCAGGCTGTTTCATCTTCAATCACACTATTGCAACTTACTCTATTCTAGATAACGTAGCATGTTGCCTTTATTTGTGTACAACGAGTACATTTAAAAACAAGACCGACGTTATTGGGTACATCCATGTATAGATATGAGGATTTCATCCGACATGACAAGCAGTTCAGACGGCAAGAAGAACTCCCAAAATCCAAATTTGAAGCAAGAAGAATAAAAATACGGCGTTCAAAGCCCCGCAGTAGGACCTACATGTGAGCTCCTGACCGAAACCAGTGTGAATAAACGGACCCAGAAAAAGTGATCAGTACCAATCAGTTCCAGACTTATTGTAATAACTGTACATACTCTCAAACATGATAATTACTCACATTTGCATCGGGTACTATAAGCTAGCAAGGTTTTCCGAGAAACCTCCTCGATAAGAATTTTTTGAGTTGCTGAGTGGAAAACCCTCCATAGTGATCTAACTAAATATGGGAAAAATAGCGGGTCAGAATGACGTAGAATTGTTATTATAAGTCATCTTTAATATTGTGAACGGAGGAAATGTGACTGTTTCGACGTCCCCCGGAGATTAATTTTATATCCCCCAATTAGACGAGCCTTGTTAGCTCGCTCGACTGATCTGCTCTCCTCGTTATACTCCCTCCTCTCCAAACATGAAAGTTGGAAACATTCTTTTCATAAGACAGCAATCATCTTTAGATACTCTTAAAATCACTTTTTCAGAAAAGTTCATTGGTCTGAAAAAACGCAGCGTCGTTTGGAAGGCGGTGGAGGGAGGGGGCTGTGAGTTCTGTATGATGAAGAGCCAACATGATAAAGTTGACTAAGGTGGAAAATTTTCTTTGTAAAAATGCTTGTGGTAAAAATTTATGGTATTAGATCAAGATTTTCTGGTATTAGATCGAAAACAAGAAAATTATCAGGTCGGTCCATACATTCTTGTCTATGGTCAACACAGTACTGGTTGACCATACAAATAATTATAACTGTAATACATAACCTAGCTTTTAATCGCTATCAGCTAAGTTGAACCTCTCTTAATAGACAGATTTATTCCATTTTTACATCGTAAAACCGTACTATTTACAGAAATGATTTTTCTACAATAATATATATATACATATTTTTTTGAAATAATAATTAAGTTTTCTGCTTTTTTTAAAAAAACTTTATTATTTGTATTGTAGGTTATTGAACATATACTGCAGCATGGAATTTTATTTTTTAACTACATTTTCGACCTCACGACAGGGTCCTCTTCAGGTTAATTTACAATTGTCTATTCAGTAGACTTCCCAACAATGCGTATTTATTAATGTAGTATAAAATTTCGCAAACAACATTTGTAAAATTAGGGATGTTAGATTTCATAACAATAATATAAACGTATTAAAATTTTTTAAGTTCATATAATATTACACATTTGACGGTTTCTTCCCTTATTATGTGGTTTAGTTACGGGTTTTTAGTACATATAATATTGCACATTTAACGGGTTTTCAGTGAACATTATATGGCATATTTAAGGGTATTTTAGTGCATATAATATGTTACGTTGTGTGTATATATATATATATATATATATGTTTGAGGATTTTTAGTTTATATTATATTGCATGTTTGACGTTTTTTTCGTGCATGTTATATGTCATATTGAGGGATTTTTATTGCAATAAATCGGGCTTCTAATTATGACCAACTTGGAACTCCTAGGCCACAGTTGAACAAGCAAGCACCTGTGCCGAATAAACAAAGCGGTGGTGATAAGTCGGTAAGGAAATGAATCCGCAGGTGAATAGCAAAGCGTCCTTGGCAAGGTTGATTCACGCTAGCAGAACAGTTGTTGTTGAAAGTCGATTCTGACAATGCTAGTCGTTTCACCAGCGCCGAACATCATTTTTCACACGTTTTTTAATTATTATTATTTTTTTAAATTTAAGGACACGTTCGCTTTCATTGAGAAACTCCTAATTGATAAAAAGACATGCTTTATTTCCGATATGAGCGATAACAATAGAAAGATGTGAAGATGATTCAACGGTATGTGATAAATTGGTCTTGTTTGCTTGACTGAATGGTTCATTAGTTATTGTATTCAATATTCGAGGTAAAATGATAGATTTTCAGATTTTCAAGAAGGATTCTCGCTCCAAGGGTTGCATTAAAAAATAAACAAGTCTCAATGACACTGACTTTTGACCGAATCTCTGTTGAACCAAAAAAAATTGACAAAAAAAGTTATATTTGAAAAACTGATTGCTGAATTATATATGCTAAAATTTGCACATCCATGTACATATGCATACACGTTGAGCCCATCGCTTCTCAAATCAAGCTTTTGTACTTAAGAATGAATTACCGGAAGGCCTCGAGAATCA